TCGTCCTGGTGTTCAGAAACAAAACAACGTAGATATTGCTCAATTTTTTGGTTAGTGCGTTCGGCTGCTCCGTTAGATTGAGGATGATAGGCCGAAGAAAAATTCAGTTTGATGCCCAACTGGGAACAGAAGGATCTCCAAAAACGGGAAATAAACTGGGAACCCCTGTCCGACACAATCTCATTGGGAATACCATGCAAACGGAAAATTTCTCTAGCAAATATCACGGCCAGTTCAGGAGAGGACGGAAGTTTAGGCAAGGGAATGAAATGAGCCATTTTAGTAAACCTGTCAAGGACCGTGAGGATAACCGTGTGCTGGAAACCGGCAGATCAACAATAAAATCCATAGCCAAACAAGCCCAAGGTTTGTTGGGAACGACTAAGGGCTGCAATAAACCACAAGGGAGATCCCGTGGTAGTTTATTCCTGACACAAATATCGCAAGCCTTGACAAAGTCTTCCACATCCCTACGTAAACTAGGCCACCAGAAGTCTTTGGAGATCATGCAGTAAGTTTTGTGTATGCCGGGGTGACCAGCGAACTTGCTATCGTGAAAACAGCGAATAATGTCCACTTGGAATTTGGGAGACACGAACAAGCGGCCCACAGGAGTACGCTCGGGAGCAAGAGATTGTTCGTTCATTATATCTAAGAGCAATGGAGAGTGTATTTTGACATTGGTGTTGGCGATAATATTGACTTCAGGAATAATAGGGAACAAAGTGTCTTCTGTAGAGGCGATAGGTTCGTGCTGACGAGACAATGCGTCTGCCTTAGTGTTCTTAGAACCAGGCCTGTAAGTAAGTATATAATTAAAGTGTGTAAGGAACATAGACCAACGTGCTTGCCTGGCAGATAATCTTTTGGCCTCCCCCATTGTATTGGTTATGGGCAATGATAAATGTTCTATTATTGTGTTCCCATTCATGTGCAATAACTTATGATACCTATAGGGGGTGTAGTGAGCTATGTGACATTAAGAGCAAGAAGATGGCTGCTGCATATTTAATGAGACATGTGCTTTAGGGAGGAAGTGACCTATAGGTGTCCTAGTGAGCACTGTGACGTCGAGTGAATAAAGATGGCTGCCGCATAGTCAATGAGACATGTGCTTTAGGAAGGTATTGAGAATTCTTAAGTCACTTCCTTTCACAAAGGACCACATGTAGTATCCGCCTCCTAGAGATGACCATTAGGTATTGGTTGTGTTACCTCTGTGGGTGGATACTAGATGGGAGGTTATTCAAGGGGTTTCCAGAAACTAGAGTTTCAGTTTCATGACTGGGTCGGAAGAAGCCAGGTGTCTTTAGAGGTGCCCATGTAAATCCATTTAACATGTGGCAAGGAACTCACCTCATTGTTCTGTGTGTTATGCTGATTCAATTATCCTGTGTAAGTTGCTGAATCTCCATGAATAGAGCTAAGTAGATTTCTTACCTGAATGTATTGTTTATAGCAGTGTATGTTTTTAAAGTATTTGTTTCTTTTTTGTGTGCTTGATAATTGTATTCCCAGTAAAGTTTTGTTTATACTTTCATCAAAACTTTGCCTCTTGTCTGTTCATTCAAGATATTCACTAATATTTATGTGATTGACCAGTATACCTTTTATTATTTTATTTGTGGTATTATTTTATATTTATGCAATTCAGAACTTCATAAATATAAAGAAATTACTTAATTTACCATTACACCCATATAAGATAAATTTTTGTGATCAGTCAAGATAGTAACTGGGAGAACAGTGCCCTCTAACAGATGTCTCCATTCCTTTAATGCCATAATGATAGCTAAGAGTTCTCTATCACCAATGTCATATCTCCTTTCAGTGTGTGATAGTTTCTTGGAAAAAAAACCGCAAGGGTGCAGCGGCTTATCTAAACTTTGTCTTTGGGACAACACTGCGCCTATCCCTGTTTCAGACGCATCAACTTCAAGTAAAAAGGGTAGAGAGGTATCAGGATGAACTAATACAGGTGCTGAGGCAAAAGACTGTTTGAGCGTTTCGAAAGCAGATAAAGCCTCAGTAGACCAGGTTTTGGTATCGGCTCCTTGTTTGGTCATATTAGTGATAGGAGCGATAACAGAGGAGTACCCTTTAATAAAACGTCTGTAATAATTAGAAAATCCAAGAAATCTTTGTATGGCTTTGAGTCCCTTAGGTAAAGGCCAATCTAAAATCGATTTTAGTTTGGTCGGGTCCATCATAAACCCGTCTTTGGAAATTACGTAACCTAAGAAAGTTACCTGAGACTGATCAAAGCTACATTTTTCCAATTTACAATACAATCCATGTTGTAAAAGTTTCTGCAATACCTTTCTGACTTGTCTATGATGTGAGTTAATGTCTCTAGAATGTATTAGTATATCATCCAAATATACAATCACACATTCATGTTGGAATTCTCTAAGAACTTCATTGATCAAGTCTTGGAAGACGGCCGGGGCATTACAAAGCCCAAACGGCATTACGGTATACTCATAATGCCCGTAACGGGTATTAAATGCTGTCATCCATTCATCTCCTTGTTTAATTCGCACCAAGTTATATGCTCCTCTCAAGTCAAGTTTGGTAAAAATACTCGAGCCCTTTAGTCTGTCAAAGAGTTCAGTAATCAAAGGAATAGGGTAAGCATTCCTGATAGTAATTTTGTTCAATCCCCGATAGTCTATACAAGGACGTAAGGTACCGTCTTTCTTTTCTACAAAAAAGAAACCCGCCCCCGCCGGAGAAGAAGACTTTCTAATAAATCCTTTGTCTAAATTCTCCTTGATGTATTCCTCTAAAACTAAATTTTCCTTGGTGGATAAAGGGTATACCGTACCCCTAGGAGGCATAGTACCAGGAAAAAGTTTAATAGAACAGTCATAAGACCGGTGGGGAGGTAAAGTATCCGCCTTACCCTTGTCAAATACAGATTTGAGGTCTAGATATTGTAATGGTATCTGAACGTCTGTGGATTGGGAAGAGTTAGTATAAGAGTTTACGGGGCAAACAGAAGTAACTCTCTGCAGACATTCTTTCTTACAACCAATACCCCAAGAAACGATTTCTCCACCCTCCCAGTCAATCTGAGGGTTATGTCTCTTGAGCCAAGAATATCCTAGCACCACTGGGACTGCCGGGGAGGAAATTAACAGAAGGGAAATCAACTCCTCGTGGAAGATACCAACAGTAAGCTTAACGGGTTTGGTCTCATGGAATATTACTGGTTCCGATAAAGGTCTACCATCTATGGCCTCAACGGCCAAGGGTGTATCTCTCAGTTGGAATGGGATACAATGCTTATTAGCGAAGGTTTGGTCTATAAAGCTTTCTGCTGCTCCAGAATCTAACAATGCCATCGTAGAAATAAACCCATTTTCCCAAGCTAGAGAGACAGGAATCAGAAGCCTATGGTCTTTTTTATTATGTATAGAGGACAGTAACGAAACACCCAAGGCCCGTCCTCTAAGGGAACTTAGGTGCGAGCGTTTCCCGGGCGATTAGGGCAACTAAGACGTAGGTGACCTCTCCGCCCGCAGTATAAACAGAGACCCTCCCTTCTTCTGTACTGTCTCTCAGCCTCAGATAAGCGAGTATTACCTATTTGCATAGGTTCTGGTGGAGTAGGATTATAGGAGTCAGGGTTCTGAAATGAGGGAGCAAGTCTTACAGGAAGTCTAGTAACTCTTTCCCGAGTGTTCTGCCTCTGTCTCATGCGTTCATCTATTCTGGAAATGAAAGATACTAAATCCTCTAAATTTTCCGGAAGTTCTCTTGTGGCAATCTCATCTAGAATTTCATCAGACAACCCATTCAAGAATACATCCATAAAAGCTTGTTCGTTCCATTTCACTTCTGCTGCCAATGATCTAAACTCTAATGCATATTCTACAAGGGTCCTATTCTGTTGTTTAAGGCGTAACAGGGATCTGGCCGCATTAATCTTCCTTCCTGGGGGGTCAAAAGTCCTTCTAAATGCCGTGACAAAAGCAGTGTAGTTGTAGACTAGAGGATTGTCATTCTCCCAAAGGGGATTGGCCCATCTAAGTGCTTTATCTATTAGCAGAGTTATAATGAAGCCTACTTTAGCCCTGTCAGTAGGGTAAGCCCGGGGTTGAAGTTGAAAATGTATGCTTATCTGGTTTAAAAAATCACGACAAGCATCGGGCGAACCCCCATAACGTAACGGTGAAGTGACATGGGAAGATGCGCCTACCGTGGCTACTTCCAAACCTGTACTTGTTGGGAGGCTAGCAGTGGAACGCACTTCTTCTGACTGGGTGCTGGAACGTGTTAGCAAAGTTTGTAATGCTAAAGCCATTTGGTCCATTCTATGGTCCATGGCCTCAAATCTGGGGTCAGGAGGACTAGCACCTGCAGGATCCATTTGGCCCTGTCGTAATGTCAGGATACTGACAGGGATCCAATACGCAGAGTGCGGACAGAAGGAGGTACGTATACCGGACCTTAGAATGGCCGGACTAACGTATGGACAAAACAAGAATAGTCAAAAGGTAAGCCGAGGTCGAGGGAGCCGGAGGACAGGTAAGCGAGATACAAGCCGAGTCAAAGGAGAGGAGAGGACAACAGGACAAAAGACAAGCAAGGTCAAAACCGAAAACACTAAGAGAGAGAACGCGCTGAGTGACTAGCAAGCTAGAACCACGACAGGGCAATGAGCAGTAGTAAAGGTTTCCTTTAAATACCCTGTCACCTTAATTGAGACCACGCCCCCAAAAGGTCCGGAATAGCGGTTCCCGGCACTTCACGTAATGCTGACGTCATGACGTCGACGCTAGCCGTCGCGTCATAAAAGGGGGAGGAGCTAGCGCGGCCGGCGCGAAAACGGCCGGAATTTGCCGAAATGCTAGGGGCAAGGAGCCCCTAAACAGAAAGGATGTCTTCCCTGGAGTCAGCACCAACAGGTACCCTGACACTCATATGCGACGTGCCCACAAGGTGGAACTCCACCTTGCACATGCTGGAGAGACTGTGCGAACAGCAGCAGGTGATAGTGGAGTTTCACCCGCAGCACGCACGGGTCAGTGGCTCTCCACCAGACTTCCCTCCAATTGATCAGAGTTAAAGGATTTCAAGTGGACTCATTACAATTACAGGGCCTCTAAAGAGTCCTGTATTGTTATTTGTCGTCACTACATTCCCGCGTCGGGAGTGGGTCATTTGCGCGCCTGCTGCTTTCCTTGCATGTGGTAGCCATTTGTCAGGGTCCCTGTACGGAATCGAACCCTGATTCCCTGTTACCTGTGGTCACCATGGTGGTGCAGTCAATGGCATCGAAATTTGATATGGATTTACATTGGAATGCGTCGTCGCCTTCTCGTTGGGGAGCACATTGAAAAAGTGCTCTAGCATGACAAGCTGGGTGATCTCCTCCAGGAACTTGGCTTGATGGGAGTTGAGCCAGTTCTGGGTGGCCCTTGTGATGCCACGGTGTATACCCAGATATATCAGATCTGCTGCAGAAAGTGCGGGCCATCTGTGCGCACTTTTGGCATTCTCACCCTGCTGCTGCTCGCGTGTCTGCGCTGCAGCGTAACTTCGGCCTTCCCGCTCACCACCTCATGAGACTGTGCGAGCAGCAGCAGGCGATAGTGGAGTTTCAGATGCAGCACGTAGGGGTTAGTTGCTCTGCAGAACAGTTTTCTTTTTTTATATGTCCCAATATTTTGGGGGCTACCCCAATTATAATAAAAAAAAAATATATATATATATATATAAAAACAGTGTTGGCTACCTCCTCTTCCTCCACCGCTGCTTCCACCTATACCGCCACGGTCACTGCCTCCTCAACCTATGGGTCACTTAGTATAAACTATGTACACAATAGCAGAGGCTTGTGAAGGCCTTTTCTCCATGCATCAGGAGTTGAGTATTTCTCCATGCATCAGGACTGCAAGAAATGCACCGCAGGCTGCAAATGTTTCTTTTTTTGTATGTCCCAATACTTTGGGTACTACCCCAATTAAAATAATAAAAAATATATATATAAAAACAGTGTTGGCCACCTCCTCCACTTTAGCTTCCACCTCCACCGCGACGGTCACTGCCTCCTCATCCTATGGGTCACTTAGTATAAACTATGTACACAATAGCAGAAGCTTGTGAAGGCCTTTTCTCCATGCATCAGGACTGCAAGAAATGCACCGCAGGCCGCAAATGTTTCTTTTTTTTTTTATATGTCCCAATATTTTGGGGGCTACCCCAATTAAAAAAAATTAAATAAAAATAAATAAAAAATAAAAATAAAAAACAGTGTTGGCTACCTCCTCCCCTTCCACCGCTGCTTCCACCTACATCGCCACGGTCACTGCCTCCTCAACCTATGGGTCACTTAGTATAAACTATGTACACAATAGCAGAGGCTTGTGAAGGCCTTTTCTCTGTGCATCAGGAGTTGAGCTCAGTTTGAACAATGAAAGAGAATACCCTGCACTCCAACCCTCTCTCAAATGGATAATTCTGGTGATCCTCCTGACAGCCATGCTTTAGATTTTGATTTATGTTCTTCCAAAGCTAAAATCAAAGATTCCATCTAGTGCTATTTTATGGCTCAGCTGTATTTTTAATTTTTATGTTATTTTTAGTGATTTCCCTATCCACATTTGTTTGCAGGGCACTTGTCCTACTCTTACTCCCATTTTACTTCCTTTTGCAGCTCTCTAGCCCTTTCCATGAGTTTTTAGAGGCATTTTTGTGGCCAAAAGTTCGGGTCCCCATTAAATTCAATGGGGTTCGGGGTCAAGTTTGAGCCCGAACCCGGACTTTTTTCAAAGTTCGGCCGAACCCGCCGGACCCGAACATCCAAGTGTCCGCTTAACTCTAATCTTAACATGTATAGCTTGGAGGAAAGACAAGACAGGGAAGATATGATAGAAACATTTAAATACATAAAGGGAATCAACACAGTAAAGGAGGAAGAAATACAAGGGGGGTGCACATAAAATAAAAAGAAAATATATTTATACTTAATATAAGTAGGACACCTCCTGTTGGACCTATAATAAAAAACACATATATAGTGTAACACTGTTATATACAGAGCATTGATCGGTCACAGGTATTGAGTCACTCACAGTGTGTAGAGCCACATAAAGCTGGCTCTAACTTTGGTGGCAGGTGAATAATAAACTTATTCTGGCTTTCAGCTTTCAGCTTTCCAAGCAGGTCTGCTCCTTTTCTCAGCCCTTTAATAAATTCCAGGACATCCAGTATCAATAATCAAAAAATGACTTTACTGGTTAAAATACAGGATACAGGAAAAACTAAAATAACATAACAAAATCCACAGCACTAACGCGTTTCGACCTCCAGGACTTTATCAAAGTGTGTGGTGAGTATTGGTCTTCTTCCTTTTAAATAGTGTTCCCCTCTTCAAATTTAGCGCCGTTTTACCGGCATCCGTCTTTACTTCCGGGTTCACCATGCTTCCGCGTCACGTGACCTCCCGTCCGATCACGTGATCATGCGTCATGACATCACTTCCGGATTTTCGATCTTCCTTTCTTCACTAACTTTATGTGTATTAACAGTCCTGGCGTTTTCCGCCATATTTGAAGTAGGAAAACAAGCCCTACATATAGAAACATCTAAAAAGGTCAATTTGTGTCTTACAATGGATCTTCTTATTACAATATGTTTACACACATATACATATATATATTTCATTTATATATGTATATGTGTGTAAACATATTGTAATAAGAAGATTTTTTGATTATTGATACTGGATGTCCTGGAATTTATTAAAGGGCTGAGAAAAGGAGCAGACCTACTTGGAAAGCTGAAAGCTGAAAGCCAGAATAAGCTTATTATTCACCTGCCACCAAAGTTAGAGCCAGCTTTATGTGGCTTTACACACTGTGAGTGACCCAATACCTGTGACCGATCAATGCTCTGTATATAACAGTGTTACACTATATATGTGTTTTTTATTATAGGTCCAACAGGAGGTGTCCTACTTATATTAATTATAAATATATTTTCTTTTTATTTTATGTGCACCCCCCTTGTATTTCTTTCTCTATTACTTTGTATTTGAGTGCCATTTAGTGATTTTGGGCACTGGGGGTAGTTGCATATTCTCTGGCTCTTTAGCGCCAATCCACCATTTCTTGTGTTGTTTTTACAGTAAAGGAGGAGACTATATTTAAAAGAAGAAAAACTACCACAACAAGAGGACATAGTCTTAAATTAAAGAGGCAGGTTTAAAAATAATATCAGGAAGTATTACTTTACTGAGAGGGTAGTGGATGCATGGAATAGCCTTCCAGCTGAAGTGGTAGAGGTTAACACAGTAAAGGAGTTTAAGCATGCGTGGGATAGGCATAAGGCTATCCTAACTATAAGATAAGGCCAGGGACTACTGAAAGTATTTAGAAAATTGGGCAGACTAGATGGGCCAAATGGTTCTTATCTGCTGTCACATTCAATGTTGCTATGATTCTATGTGAGGCAATGCTACATCTGAAAAAGTGGCCTTGGCAACCACCGCTGGGAGTGACTGGAGTCTGGTAGTCAATATCTTGGGTAATGGTTTGATGGCAGATTTAAAAATGCAGGAAGGGACTGGACATTAGGATCATGCACAGAGTGATGCCTTCATGGTCTGCCTTGAGGGGGCAGGCAGTCAGCCAGCCTGGTCATTCTCTTTAAGTGTGTGTCCACCCCTTTGATGAGTGGTTTCACCTGCTTGATGGGAAAGTCCACCCACTGCAAATTGATTTGTGCAATCTGCTCACTTTCCTGCAAACATTCCTCCCTGAGCAAGAAAAAGTGTCATTTATTGTATTAATTGATACTTTGTTCTAAAAGGTGTGAGAAGGAACTAGCCTTGCTCACACTAAAACTACAGGATGGAATGGAACTTAAATAGGGCTTTAAGTCTGAAAATGTTTAGCTACATGATGTGTGACACAATACATGAACATTCTAAGCACATGAGGTATATCCAAACTAAGTAGAATAGAAGTTACACACTTTTGTTTAGCTGCTATTGTTGCTTACAAATTATTTTAAAAATTTTTAAATTGTTACAATGTTTTATTTATATTTTTCATAGGAGCCCCCTTGATGTCCACTCCACGTGTAGAAATATATTCCAAGTGTGTATTTAAGGAAAGCTCTAACAGGGTTATTCACCATAGTGAGAATTCAAAGTGATTTTTAAATTTAAAGTCAAAATAGCAAACTGGAAACTTTCTGTAAGCCAGCTATGCTTTCTGTTTCAGCTACTCTGGCATAAAATTCACTTTCAATTCAAATGTGAATTCCATTCAGCTGAATACATTAATCATTTGAGTTAAATATTGCACTAGAATTTGTTCAATGGGAAGGGGAATGAGTACTTAGCAATCAGTAAACATTTACCTTTTGTTAAACTTATTTCTCAATACAAAAATATTTGGCACCAATGGGTGAGGTCACTATGTTAAAAAATAAAATGTCTTTCCTTGTTCTGATATGCATGACCACATTGAAATTAATTTTGGTCCAGTTAACACAAAGTTATAAACAATTTAGTTTTATATAACAAAACTTGAAAATAGTAATATCATTATCCATGACAAGGGGACAGGAACCACAAAAAATATAGTAACAAATTCAGTTATGCTGAATGCTAAGCATTGTTTTATACATGTTTTAGGGAATAAGAACTGATCACCATCTCTGGCAATTTGGAGCCTTGGAGAAAACAAAATAGAATAGAACTTGTGGTTGATGCCACTCAAAGTTGTGGCAAGTGGGGCAAGTGATGCAGTGGCAAGATAGTGAGAGATAGGATAGTGATAAGTAGGGTTTTAGGGTCAGGGTAGGGCAGTGGGAGTTGGTGTTGAGTGGCATGTGGCAGGATATTGGGCAAAAAAAGTATGAGCTAGGTTAAGTGGGTTGACACTTATAGTGGATGTTCTGGCAGGAGAGTGAGAGTCATGGTTGTGTGGGATGGGGCAGCATAGTTGGTGTTAACGTGGGCTGATGAAGCATAGTTGGAAATGAAGTATAGTGTGAGTTGGGGTAGAGTGAGCTGGGACAAGATGATGAGAGTTAAGGTAGAGTGCTGTGTGACAGGGTAGTGGGAACATGGGTATATGGCATGTCAGACTATGCCTGCCCTCTCACATAGTGCACTACTTGCTGTATCTGTGGGGCTGGCTGAAAGAGAGAGTGCAGAGTCTGTCTTTCCTATTATTAAATTTCCCGGCCATGTATGTTAGTGAATATGCACTATGGCTGGAAGGGATTGCACACTCTTGTCCCCCTTCCTCCCCCTCCCCATATTATTGTCTGGGGGAATTTGTCCCCCATATCCCTCCTAGTTCCTACATCCCTGTCAATGTTGGTAACTAAATGTGAAAAGAGCAAGAGCGAGCCCTGCAATAAT